TTTAGTTGGCAGTATTGAACTAAATATTTATTAAAATTGACTATATTTTTTTCTCAGTGTATATAATTATATACATGTTTATGAATATTTGTGCGTGTTTATGTATGTTTAGACACATTTATACATATATGAACATGTATGAAAAATTTTTTACCGGGTTAATATTTAACTTTTTAATACTTTATAAATATTTTATTGGGAAAGTTTTAACAGTATTAATTATCAATTTTGATCAATTACCATGTTTTTCATACATATTATATTTGTATAAATAAAGTCGAATTAAATAATTTTAATATAATAACCTAAATAGCACAAATATATTCTTGACACATCCAAAGAATATCCAGGACTCGCGTAAAGGAGTCACAGCAGTGTCTCGCGCCATGTCTCAGCGCCGCGATACTACCATGTCTCCAGATAAAAATAGATATTTTGTGAATATATTCGAGTAAACCTAGCCTGTGCAAGTGTACAAAAATTTATTTACAATTTAATATCGTATTATGTATATAATAAAAAGTTATTATATGCAATAAATGAAATTATAAAATGTTTATTTTCTCATTTTTATTTCTTAAAGAGATTTTACATATATTTTAAACCTTAGACTGCATTCCGACAGTCACTGTCAATATTGAAAATCTGTAATTCATATTACATACCTATATACTATGAATTTCCAGTACTCGAAATGAATTTAAAAATACATTTTTATACAATCATATTAAAGTTTATAAACAATATGTTTAACTTAAATTCGGTAATTGTTGAGTTTAGCTCCCTCACGTGCAATAAAGTGGTAAAATTAGACTCATTAGACATCTTTTTGAACAAAACGATCAAATCTAACAAAAACAAGCGTCACTCTTCTCCGCGAACTGAGATATTAAATCGTTAATGTTGACTATTGGGGTTAGAAAACTCGTCACACTGATGAAAAACAGCGATATGAGCATATAAATAGCAGATTTGTAAAATGCATTCGTCCAAAATTTGTAATTTTCAGAAAAAAAGAGAAAGAAAGAAACTACGCACTTTACAAAAAATAACAATATGTCAACCAGTAGGATGTGAAATATTAAACAAAATTGTTGAACAATTGCTAAAAATGTTAAACAACTGCATTTTGTTTGTTTTTAATTAAAATGATGTAATTAATTACATGATGCATTTCGAAATGTCTATGTTTTTTCAGCATATAAATTAACAATAAAGAAATACTTTCTGAACATCTCAGAGAGCTTATAATATAAGTCATTCAACACTGAACACTACGCCGTCCTTAACCTAAAAAATAAAATTTTGGACAAAACGCATAATAAAAGTCTGTTCCTCATACGTTGTTCAAGTGAATTTGGCATGAATTTCGTTGAAATATCCCAAGATATGATAGAAAAGAATCATATTTGGCTGAATTTATTTTTAAAAAAGGAGATTTAATATTAATGAACGAATTATAGAATTTAAAAAAATAATTAGTAAATTATCTATATCTATTCTGCAATATATCAATAAATTCCTAATAAAATACATATTCTCTTCTTCAATTTAATAAAAACACAAATTTTGTTATATAATTTAAATTATAGCAGATTTGTGATTCAAAATGTATGTTTACATATTCTCTGCTTTAATTAATTAAAAACAAAAATTTTCTTATATAACTCAAATTATGACAGAAACTTTGACAGCACGTGCTTATGTATAAGGTATAACTACTTCTTAATATTATATTTTTAATATTATAATTAATTATTCTCATAATAGATATAATT